TGCAATCTGGTTGCATGTGAAAGAACAATTAGACGATTTCCTGATCTTTTTCAACAACATCAATGGATGCAGAAGAAAACGGATACTTGCCTTACTTGAACGTGAAGTTTATTTGCTCCGAGGAAACTCTCAAGAAACAATCTTTCATAAAGAAATTGCATGATGGGATAACTCTTAACTTGTAGAGTGAAGATTGCAATACTCCGGAGTATGATCATAAGAAGGCTACGACTCACTGATTTTGAGTTGTGGAAATAGGAACTGGGAAAACTAACTCAGATGTCTCTTGGAAATGGATATCCAGAAGAGGCAATATAACGCAACATACGGATGGTGATTAACAGATGGGACGGAGATTATGAACGGAAGATAGAAGAAAGAGGGGAAATATGGCGGATATGCCTACCCTCCAGCGAATTACTTCGGAAGCTGCGGTCGATGCTATGGAACTGGAATATTCTTTCGAGCCTGAAGTCAAGGACAACTCTCCTGACCAGCTTGCCTAACCAGCATGAAGAAGTCAACAAAAGCAGTTGGCAGCATAAACTGCAAGGAGTGTAAAACAAAATACATCGGAGCGACAAGAAGGACAATCAGTACAAGGGTTGAAGAACACCAGCGAGGATGCAGAAGAATGGATACGAAAGAATCGGGGTTAGCTGAACACATCGTCCTTACCGGCCAGACAATTGACTCGAGTGCAACGGAACGACTGGCCCCAAATTGGGGGGAACACTGGAAACAGAAGATCAGGGAGACTGTTGACATCTCCTTTAAAAGAAATTTGATGAAGAGGAGATTGAAAGAAGAAAAAAGTTAGTGAGAATATCAAGATCTGCCTGGGAAGACATGGAGATTCAGCGAGGACAACAGAAAGAAGACGCTTGGATAAAAGATATGTATCCAAAAACGGGTAGAGAGTTGGCCGAGAAGAGGATCCTGAAGGGAAACTGGAAGACATTAAAAGACGACTGCAGCGAGAGGAGTCAAATCTGGAATCAGCCTGACAATGTACCGGTCGGATGTGGAATAGCAAATTAAAGACTCATAGTTCAGGTGGGCCACACATAAATCACCAACGTGTGTGCATGCATGTGTGTGTATTGGTGTGCATTTTTCGTGTGTGTCCACTAAGGCGTGGTGACTGATCACTTTTTTGACCATGAGGCTTACCAACAAATATAAACATTTACAACATTCAAGCACCCTACGGCCAGATTGGACTGTCAATTTGCGAGACAAGAGGAGTGAGACGAAGGGAAAAAGGGAAGTGATGCATTTTCACACCAGCGGTTG